TTTACCATAATTTGATTTGAGTTTTCAAAATCGAAAATTTCTCAGGGCTGACGTGAGATTTATAAAAAATTGCGATATTTACTGAAAAAATAAGTTTTCTAAATCTGTATTATTTTGCATTGTAAATGGCGAATAAAACATTTACATGAAAACACAGCTGTTTTGTTAGCTTTGACCATTTGGAATCACAATTAAAAGTTGTTCACATTTTCATTTTTCTGAAAATAAAATGTGAAACACAAGTTACTACAAAAGATATTATTCTTTAAAGAATAATATCTATATAATAATAAATAATAAATAATAATATAAAGTAATAATTATTACCAAAATGACGAAAGTACTACAATTGTTCTTTCGTATCCAAAAACAATTGTAGTTCACCATTGGGTCGTATACTCCTTTAAGCATTGCTCAATAGTGATATTGAGCTAACGTACTTTGGTATTGAGAAGCACGCCATATTCACGCTCTAAATTGTCAGGAAGTTTTTGAATTCACGATGATTTAAACTTCTGACAAGTTCTCAATTTTTCTTGCAATATTGTTAAACTAATATTTATTTTAACAGAAAATGCTATTTCTGCGAACAACAGCTTTTACCAGTATTTGACTGACAACAAAATTAGCCTTTACAGCCGTATTTGATAAAATATCTAGAAAAATAATCTGTAGTTGAGAAATGCTTGGCGGACCGCAGAAAAACATCCGGCGGGCGGCGGGTTGCTCATCCTTGATTTAAATCATTATGAATTATCTCGTTAGAAACAAACCATGGTGCACTTGTGATTAGTCTAAGAATTTTGCTCTGTTTCCTTTGAATGGCAGATATACGCGTTTTGCTGGCGCATCCCCAGAGTTCAACCCCGTAGCACCATATCGGCTTTATCACCGTTCTCTATATTAGCACCTTATTATCGAGGGACAATTTAGATTTTGTGCCTAACATCCAATATAGGGATTTTACTTTTCTCTCTAATTGTTTATATTTGTTGCTGACATGTGGAATCCAATTCAATTTTTTGTCTAAGTGCAAACCTAGATACTTTACAGTATCTGAATGCGGTATAGTTTTATCATTGATTTTTACTGCCGGGCATTTGTCTTTCTTTAGGGTGAAAGTGACTTGGCAACCCCTTGATTCATGAATTTTAATTCTCCACTTCTGCGCCCATGCTTCTATTTTGTTTAAATGGTGTTGTAGCTTTGTGCTAGCAGTTACAGGATTAATATGGGATGTTGCTATTACTGTGTCATCAGCAAATGTACCTAGCATTGCATCTTCTGATTGTGGTAAATCATGTGTAAAAATAATATAAAGGATTGGGCCCAATCAACTACCTTGTGGAACGCCGGCGTTTATGAATCGATAACTGGATAAATCTGTAACAACTTTGGTTCTGAACTGTATTTTCTCCAAGTACGCTTTAAAAAAAATTGTGGTAATCAGGAACTAAATTCTTGATTTTGATAAGTAATCCTTTACGCCATACCTTGTCGAAGGCCTGTTTCACGTCCATAAAAGCTGCTGTGCAGTATTCTCCATCTTTGAAAGATTTGTGGATTTTGTTTACTATCCTATGCCACTGCTGTATTGTAGAATGCATCGGCCTAAATCCATACTGATGGTCTGGAATTACATTGTAATGGTTAGAAATATCAGATAGTATTAGTTTTTCAAAAACTTTGGTTATATTGGACAAAAGCGAGATCTGTCTGTAAGAATCTACTAAATCAGGATTTTTCTCTGGCTCAGGAATGAATATTATTTCACACTGTTTGAGCGACATTGGCCAATAGTTTAGACGAATAATAGCGTTAATGGTGTAAGTTAAAAGAACGTATCCCTTTTTGATAGTACCTTTAGCATCTTTATTGTTACTAAATCTATGCCTAGAGCCTTTCTGTTCCGCAAAGTTTGACAACAAGAGTGGTGTTGACCCGATGTAAACCTAGGTACTTGAAATTCTGTTGTCGAATATGAAGGTTGAGGGTTGAGCACGTCAGGGTTTATGTTGTGTCTTGGAAGACAATAAGTGGCGGAGATAAACATATCAAATGTTAATGCACTTACTACAATTGTGGTAGCCTGTAAGTACGCAGTGTTATATTTAGTTGATTCATAATCTTTTATATTAGACTTAATTAGAATTGCGCTTCCGGCGTGGCAGGCACCATCGAGGTGTGTGATAAGTTGTATAGTTATGTATTTTAAATTAAAACGTTCCATATTGCTATTGTGAGTGTGTTGGCCATTATTTAATTTTATTTAGTGAAAGCATGTTTAATTTCATAGTGTTTTGTTGGGTCGTTTGCTTCATTATGTCTTGGAATTCATTAATTATAGAAGTTAGTGCTGAAAACTCTTGAGACTGGTTATTATTTACTTGAGGTTTCAATACTTGGGAATAGCTCATGTTCTGTGAATTATAAATTATTGGTGATGTACGTTCCCTATGAGATGACGGTGATGAATCAATGTAGGCGGTAGTTGGCTGGTTTTGTATGGTTTTATGGTTAGATTTTCTCCAGTTTTTGTCAAGGTTGTGGAAAAATTCGCAATCTTTATAGTTTGCAGGATGTGCTCCGCCAGACAAGAAGCAGCACGCTGGAGTGTTCTTGTTTTTTTTACACTTCGATGTAGGATGAGGGTCTCCGCATTTTACGCAGGCGTAAGGCCGATTGCAATACGTTCTTGAGTGGCCATAAAGCTGACATCTATGACACTGGATGATGTCTCTTGTTCTCCTTGGAGGTTCGAAGTTTACTATCTGATTCATCAATTTGTTGATCTTATAAATAGTAGAGTTGCTGCGCGCAGGTTCAAAATCAACAAAGAAAATGTTTAAAGGTTTTTTTGATATACGATGCTTCAGGTTATTAATGCTTCTGACTTTAAGTCAGCAATTACGACATTTGTCGTAAAATGAATATATTTAAGCACTACTCGGTACGACCTCTCAGTATTATATGTGAAATACGACTTTACTTTTCTGCGTAAACTTAACTGCATTCCTATATACACCCGGTTCGAACACATTAATCTTGATCATATGGTTGGGAGGTTTTTAAAATATATTGGTCAGATTTTAATACAACACTGAGTGATCTCATCATGTCCGGAAAGTCGACGACGTTATAAATGTAGATTGGTGGAGGCCTCACAGTTTTAGCGACCGAGCTATCAGGTAAACCCATATTGTCGTTAGTGGTATTGCATGATCTATCGAGAGTATTATTTGATAATATACTATATCTATTTGATAGTTGTACCTCGGTGTAACCAGTATTATCGGCGTTAACTTTACGCTTCTTATTGTTAGATGATGAAGCAACTATTTGCCACTTGTTGGGATTGACCGAAATGTCATTGTATGAACTATCAAAACTGTCGTTGACACATATATTAGTCTTGCTTGATATGTTGTTTAAATTTTCCAGCGTACTTGTTGATTCGTAAGATTTTTCTGTTCTGACAACATTCACTATCCATTACTGTATTATTTATTTCAATTGCATTTGTATTGTCACTATTACTGTACCATATGTTCATCGCGGTAGCAACTATATTACCGATAACACTACCGGTAGTCGGATTAGTGTCCGTCGATTGGACTATTACCTGTCTTCGGGTCGAACAGGTACTCGGATTAGCGTCCGGCGGTCGGACTCTGACCTGTCCTCGGGTTGAACAGGTACTCGGTTTAGGGTCCGGCGGCCGTCTTAAGGCCTGCCCGCGGGCCCTCGATGGCATAACTTGTATTATAAATACACTCTACGATGTCTGGCACAAGACTGTCTGTTGTAATTGAGTACGGTGTTTTCAATTAGTTGCATCAGTGGGTATACTGTAGAGTGTGTCTAGTATGATTTTGTAGTCTTTAGTCGTTTACGAAATGTATTGAGGAGGCTAATTGGTCTGTAATTTTGCGCTAAGTATGGTTGTTTTTTTGGCTTCAATATGGGAAATATGTTCGACTTTTGCCATAATGCAGGAAAATAGTGGCCATTATGTGGTTTGCTATGCGGGTAAGTAGTATAAAAACGTTTGTTAATCGAAAAGTGCTTATGTCTACTCCCTTGTTCCAGTCTGTCAAGTTGCGCAAAAAAGCATCACACAGAATACATTTACAAGTCACAGGTTGCGCTATTATACAGTATCGTCTGTGGCCGGCTTTAGAGTGGTTCGCATAGATAGAAAAGAGTATAGTTGTTATAATTGTTTCGACGCGTATTTGTTTCAGGTTGGCTTCGGATTTTCGGTTCTATGACAACGTTTTTTCTGTACATATTTAAATTTTTCTACATAAATGTTTCACCAAGATTAATATAAAAAGTTTCAAGAACCCTAAAGAGATGAAATGAAATTTGTCAAACATGATGCATAACAATTCAAAATTGCTGCATAACACTTTTAAAGCGTTATTATTAGCATCTTAAGCGATAAAAATTCCTGTTTTGTATTTTAATTTGGATTCCTAAATAATTCAAAAGTTTGTGGTGTTTCCAAAGGTGTTGTTTGGATCATACTTGCTTCAAATTTTATTCAAAGTACATGTTTCATTAAAATATAAATATTGGTGAAATTAATAACTAATGTAAATAATTGGGTTGTGTACCTCACTGTTTATTAACTTCCCGAAAACAAGGTTTATGTTTTCGCCAAAAAATGTGATTTGACTTTTGAAAACATCTGACTTTAAGCTTTAAAATGTAACTAAATATTTGAAGTAATTTATTATATTAATTTAAATGTTTGTTATTCGGAAAAAAAATGTTTTATCAGATATGATTTGTTTTCAGAATAATGTGCAAAACTGCAAACGTTTGGTTTTATGAAATATACAAAGTTATGCTTACAAATAAAATCTTGTAAATTGCCACAGAACTGCGCAAAGTTCAGGCAAGTATTTACAGATAATAATCACAAACAGACTTGAATATTTAAATATTCACATAAATATGGATTTCCCAAAATGTTAATGTTGTGGAAAATGTTCTTAATCAAAGAGACCGAAACCCATGTCATCATCTTCAGACTCAGATTCCTCTTTCTTTTCTTCTTTCTTGGATTCAGCAGATGCTGCAGCAGCAGCAGCTGGAGCGGCAGCAGTAGCAGTAGCAAACTTGCTGGGATCCTTAATGTATTCCTTAATTGTGGTAGCTTCTTTGAATTCAACTTCAGTAGTGGCTGTAATGGCCAACATGTTCTTGAAACCGTTAGCCAAGCTGTGAGGAGCAGAAGCAACAGTTGGATAACCAATAGACAAACAAACTGAAGCCAAATTGGCAACTCCAGCTTGGAACTTGGTACGCAAATCTTCAGGCTTGATGTCTAAGATTTCAGGAGCAAAGATAGCTCCAGAGTCATAAACCTGTTCAACCAAAAGACCATATGAAAAGGGAAAAATGTTCAACATGTTAAGCAAAGTAGCTTCTGAAGCACCAACTTTATCGCCGGGTTTTAAGATATGGACATCATTGATGATTTCAATAGTACCTTTTCAAATTTTTGTTGGGATGACATACGACATCCCAACATACGAAGACATACGAATTTGTTGCATTTGCTTGGAGCCCACATTGTCGGCTCCCACAATAAAACATTTTGGGTATTCATCCAACAATTGGACAAGATTAGTAAAGTAGTTTCACTTCCAGGTGGCTTTACTAACTTTACCCTGCCATTTTTCGCTGTGGCACAATGGGATTGAATGGTTGAGATATGGGAAATAAAACAAATAATAAATTTCATAATAGTTTAATTTTTCAAGAATTGTGAATATACAATACTTTTTGTATAGTCTAAGACTATCTGGCTTGCCAACTCGACTACACGCGACTACATTCCATGTGATAAGCAATCCTGATCTAAATCCAAACCACATATTTCAAAAGATTGGTCTTGAGCTTTATTTGTTGTGATTGCAAAGAAAAATCGAACAGGGAATTGCAAAATTATAAATTCAAATATTGTATGGTTCGAAATTATGGGTATTCTAGGAATGAGGACATCACCAATAAAGTACATTTGTATAACTTATGGTCTATGTGATATATTTGCCCTTTAATTTTATAGGTTGGCATGAATTGATGTGAAAGCAATTGTTATATTTTTTGATGCTCGATAGGAAATGTTTCGTTTCAGAAGTAGATTCAGCAAGTAAAGTTGTAAATGGCTCTCATTGTGCATCAAGTTGAGGCAATATGATTTTTCCACCAGCGCAACACATCCTTTTTGTTTCATTTTTAAACTTTAGGGTCTGGCAGTAGCTACACACATGACTCATCTGACCAAAGTCAACAAACTGACTTGAACTATGATCAACAGCTGGATTGGACCGAAACGCAAGGCGATTGTACTGCACATTCAGATTAGCTGCTCTTTCTTCATGTGTTATCGTTTCGCGTTCTTTCCTTTCAATGCGAACCAAATTTGTAGCCGCAGAACGCCATTCAAGTGCTCGAAATCGTGCATTCTCAAGTCTGGCTTCTCGTCTTTATACTGTCTCTACGTTATTTCTCTGAATCGTACTTAGTATTTTCCTCTCTCAAACGTGTGCTCACTCATCCTCAGTCATATTCGAAAGCCATATATATATATATATATATATATATATATATATATATATATATATATATATATATAGATATAGATATATGTATATATATATATATATATATATGTATCAACGTCGACAAAACTATCATATATATATATATATATATATATATATATATATATATATATATGATAGTTTTGTCGTTATATATATATATATATATATATATATATATATATATATATATATATATATATATAGTACAAGTATGCCGTATTTTATAATTTTTCCAGTATTTTAGACCCTAAAACACAATTGTCCTCCCCAAGGAATTAAGCCCTCATCTAATGATACTTGCTGTTTCGGCTTGTAAACATTATTGAACTTTCAACACAATAATTTAGTATAGACCTAACTTTGAACAAGCGATCAGAATCGTCTGTGACGTCTTCATTGTTATTGAAATGCCAAGAATTTCATATTTGGCGGAATCTATTCCTTGGTTTTTTGAAAAAAAACGGTGTACTTGTGCAGGGATCAGTTTACCAATAATTGTCTTAGAACTACTCGTTTAGAACTATTCGAAATTCTTCTTCGGACGAACACCCGAGATCGTGGAATAATATCATCGTCACAACGGCTCAATTTATCAATGTGTAATCATTTATACGTATTTAGTAGATTTGTATCGGGTATCCACCACAAATCTACTAAATACGTATTTTTACGTGACCCGCGCTCCAGTGACAGACAACAAAAAACGCAAAAATTACGTTGCCCGCACTCTATTCTAACACTAAGTGTTAAAATTTTTTTACTTTAAACAAAAACAATATTGCTTTGAAAATGTGAATATTTGTTAATCAAGAATTATTTTAAATTGAATCCAGTAAACAGAACCGTTATGCTCTTTCAAATACTTCACTTATTGCTTTATAAGAGATGTTTTATTTCTTTTCAGAATTGGAAGGGCTTAATGTATCTCTGAGGAAACTGGTAAATCGATATTAGTTACAGAAGCAAGAAAACATAGAACAGAAAAATGGATAGTAAGTATTTAATAACTTTCAGCGTAACTTTCAAATCTTTAATAACAATTATTATTTCTTATAATTAAAAATACTTTAATCAATTTTTTTGTTTTTAGATTATGTGTTAACTATAGATTATCCTGACGTTTTAAATAAGACTCTCCGAATCGTTATGTAGTAAATTCTAATGAGAACAATTGGCCATTATTTCTATCAGACATCTTTCGCAGATGTTCATTTACTTTCTGCTTAAGTGGGTTGTGATGGTTTCCTATTTTATTGCAGTATTTTGTGCTCATTTTTTGTAAAAACATCAATCTCTTTGTATTATTTTTATGCTTGATTTATTAGCACATGGACTCTAAACCAAAAGTCCATATTGGAACTATGAAGCTTAAAGCTATATATGGCTAACTAATATATTTATTTTATGTTCATATGACGGTTTAGATATTTTTGTGAGCAACGAGAACTGCTCTCTGAACACTTTGTGAATTTGTTTCCGCTTAATTTCGATACTAATATTACCGGTGAATCTGTGGATAAGGTGCAAGCCATTATCCTTAGCCTAGTTATTTTACTGTGTTACTTTCGAGAATGGCTGATTTTAATTTTTTTCTCTGGGCACTGGACAGTCTCCTAGTTTGAGGCTGAATATTGTAAATGATATTTATTTGTTATAATCACGATCATTATAATCATTAACTTTTATTAATTTCCCAAAGGAGAAGTTTGTTTTCATCAAAAAATCCGATTCGCTAATTTTATGTTTTCTCGGCGTTTCAAGCCATTCTGAGTCGAATGAGACCAAATTTGGAAAAAGTATGTGTGTGCTTTTTTTTGGAAATGCCTTTATGCATCCCAGACCGGTCTTCTGTCTGGGTATGTCGGACTCGATACCGCCCTGGTATAATACCGACTAAAACCTCCGCTTTGCCTTTGCCTCTGGTCCCCACGGAAACCGCCGTTAGGCATTACTTCGTGGGGGGAGGATCTAGAATGATATAAATTCTTAACTTGTTATAATCAATGTTATAAGTCATAAACATTATATTTATCTTTTAAATGGGCGAAGTCCCATTCGCCCTTTCTCTCTCTATAGAACGCAGGTCCATTAAAACGTCTCTCGCAAATCTGTCTATGGCGTTCCAAGTAGCATCACTTGTCAGCATCACTTCAACAACATTACCTGGGGTAATTCTGCATCTCAATGTCTCTTCCACATCATCCCGTAGAGCACCAAATCGCGAGCACACGAAGAACACATGCTCAGCATCTTCGATTTCGCCCAAACAATATGGGCAATCCGGCGAGCTATCGTGCTTGAAGCGGTGTAGGTAGGCTCGAAAACAGCCGTGCCCCGATAGCATTTGCGTAATATAATAATTTACTTCGCCGTGCTTGCGACTTAGCCAGACTTTGATGTTAGGAATGAGACGATGCGTCCATCTGCCCTTTACTGCGACATCCCACAGTTGCTGCCATCGGTCAATGCTATTCTGCCGTTCTTCTAATCTTAACTTTTCAGGACTCAGTTGTTGATGTCTTCTATGGTAAATTGTCCGTCTTTCCTCTGCTAAGACTAAGAGAGGCACAGTTCCTGAAATGACGCACACTGCTTCCGCCGATATTGTGCGAAATGCGCAAGCAATTCTTATAGAACTGAGACGATATAAGGGCCCTGCCATTCTCTTAGATTTTTGAGATTTAAGAGCATCATCCCATATGGAGATACCATATGTCAGCACAGAAGTAACAACTGACGATAGTAATATCCTTCTGGTTTGTTTAGGACCTCTAATATTAGGCATCAGTCGAGCAAGTTTCGTCCTAACTATTAACGCCTTAGCACTAACGTGTTCCACTTGTTGATTGAAATTCAAACGAGCATCAAGCATTACGCCAAGGTAACAGATGTGAGGTTTTGACGTGATCTCAAGATTTCCTATCTTTAGCTTGATGGTCTCTATTGTTTTCCTACTAGTGATAAGAACAGCTTCACTTTTTTGTTGTGCCAATTGGAGATTCATTGTTTCCATCCAATGACAAAATTTTCTAAATGTAATATCGAATATACTTACGATATCATCAATTTGTTTGGAGACAACTACTATGGCAACATCGTCTGCATATGCTACTAGTTTCACACATTCTGGAATCTCTAGTCTCAATAGGCCATCATACATAATATTCCACAGCAAAGGGCCTAGAACAGAGCCCTGCGGCACACCTTCTGTTATATTATATTTCTCTGTACCATCGCGTGAATAGTACATTAGAATTCTGTCTGTAAAGTAGCTTACGACTATATTGCAGAGGTATGCTGGCACGTTCTTGACACGCAGTGCATTCATAATGCAATCCCAGTTTGCAGAATTGAAAGCATTTTTTATATCCAATGTAGCTACAAGGCAGTACTTTTTCGCGCCCCCCTTCCATCTGGTTCCAGCAATTGCCTCCTTGGTGGTATTAACTACCAAGTTTATAGCATCAATAGTTGATCGCCCTTTGCGAAAACCAAACTGATTGTCTGCTAGGATTGGGTCAACTATTGCATCTATTCTTTGGTGAATATTCTTTCAAAAATTTTACCCGCTGTATCCAACATGCATATTGGACGGTAGAATGATGGTTCATCTGGTGTTTTTTTTCCTTTGGGAATAAGCACTAATCTTTGCTGTTTCCATTTTCGTGAAAAACCCCTTCTTTCAGGCATGTATTATATGCATTAAGAAACATTGTCGGAGATATCATAATTGATGTTTTTAAGGCAATATTAGGAATTCTATCTAATCCCGGTGCCTTACTATTACCAACGCGATGATAAGCTTCCATCAGTTCTTGCAGTGTTATAGGTGGAATATTATTCTGTTCTACATGTGTTACCTGGTAGTTTAAATTAGGTTGTCGTGGAAACAAAGTAGTTACTATTTTATTCAATAGTCGTGGGCAAGTTGGCTGGCTTTTGACGCGAGACATTACAGTCTTATAAGGTCTTCCCCATAGGTTTTCCTCGACTTCATCCAGAAGTTCTTTCCAGCACCTAACTTTACTATCTTTGATAGCTTTATTTAGTTGCCGACGTGCTTGTTTATATTCCACTACCAGTTGTGCAGAATTAGTGAGCCTATACCATCGCTGAGAGATCCTTCTTTTCTTTAGGCACTCTTTACGAAGAGAGCTAATTTCTTCAGTCCACCAGTGCACAGATTGTCTTTGATTTATGCCATGCTTACGAATCATACTGATATCACAGGCTTCGGTTATTCTCTTCATAAGCTCTCTAGTATGCTCATCTGCGTGTTCTGAAATTATATGTTTGCAATTTAAGGCAACATTCATGGCGCTTTCATCAAAAGATTTTATTTTCCACCCAATGGCTTTAGATATTTTCGCATGTCTTTTAATGTTTCTATTCGTTGATATTTCGCAGATGATTGCATTGTGGCCACTAGCAGTGTAGATATCTAATACCTCCCAATTGCAATTTCCTCTGACGAGGCTATTGCTAACAAAAGTAAGGTCTATTATTGAGCTTGCACTGCCCTTGGCAAAGGTTGGCTTATCACCACTATTAAGTGAAACAACGTCAAGTGCATTAAAGGCCTCTAAAAGTGCTTTACCTCTTGCATTAGTCTTCCTACTTCCCCAGTCTATCGCCCATGCGTTAAAGTCACCGGCTATCGCTACGGGGTGGTGTCGTTTTGCATCCTCCACAAGACGATCAAAAAAATCGACAAAATCGGGCAAAGAAAGACTAGGTGGAGCATAACAGCTGTATAAATGAATGCCATCTAAAGATGCTGCGACAAATACAGCGTTGCTATTGTTAACAACATTTTGGAAACAAAATTTGCCACAGGACCAAATAACAGCTTTGGTGGTACTGTCCGTTTCCCATGGCCAATTGTCCATGGCCATGGTTAGTTGTTTGCAAGGTTCTGATAAGAGGGCAACATCAATTTTCATATCTCTTACCGTCTGCATAAACAAGTCGTGTGCAGCCTCACAATGATTCATGTTTAGTTGCATAATCTTCATGCTTTTGCGTTCATTATTTTCTCTATGGCCTCCCTATATACAGGACATCTGTGAGTGCCGGCATGATTTGCTACATTTTCAGAGTTTACATTTCCAGCGCATAGTGCACATTTTGCTACATTTATACAGTTGGCTATTTTGTGACCTTCTTGTCCACATCTAATGCATAGATTGGTCCGATTCACTTCGCTCTTGCACTGTGATCCATATTGTCCGAAAAGCCAGCATTTAAAGCATCGAATTGGTTTCTTGATGATTTTAATTCTACAGTTGACCCATCCCATTCGTATTTTGCTACTTGCTTTGAGCAGATCGTGTACAACTGCCGCTGGAAGAGCTACAGTAGCAATCTGGGTACCTCTATATGCCTTACGAATCCTAATTGCTTCAGCTGGTGTGTTGCAGGCTCCTCCGGTTGCTTTTTGTAGTGCTATCTGGATATCAATTTTTGAGGTTTCATCATCAATATCCCTTATTTCTATAGTTTCTTGGTGCCCCTTATAAATAACTTCGGCCTCATCCTTTAACACACCTGCAATAATCTGTTGTAGTCCTTGGCCTTTGTCCGCACTTTTCTTAGAAATAGTTATCAACAAGTCTCCATTTCTGGTTTTGTTTATTTTGTCTACTGTCGTATTTTCCTGGTCATCAGGGCCATCATGTTTGATGCGACATAATATTTCGGAATAATTTACTTTTTCGGTCGGCCGGATCAATAAGGCATTTGGTTTTGGAAAAATTCTATGATTTTTTATCATTTTATGGTTAGAGTCCTGTTCTGACAGATGTACCCTTGCTTCCTTTTTTTCTGTTTTCTCGGCTGAACTTTATGCCAGTCATTTACCTCGATTTGTTCTTCATTACATATTTCTATGATCGTTTGACGTCTTCGCAAACCATTTTTCTCATTAACCTGATTAGTGCTTATATGTTGTGAGTTTCGGTTTCTTCTGGCTTTGCTTGTGTCCTGCCGTACA